CCTCCGAGACTCGAACCCGAAACCTGGGGCACCGAGTACCAGCCCCAAAACCATTAATGCCCCAGTACCATTAATGCCCCAAAATGAACACACATATAATATAAATGTCTTTCGCAGTTGTAATAACAGATTTTCCTTTGTTGCATTTAACCTACAATTAAAAGCTATAAAAGAAAAAAGGCCATTTTTATGCTTGTATTTATGAATAATTCAGAACTTAACAGATTTCTCTTTTCTTCCCAATATAGAAAACTTATTCGTAGGCATGTCATATTTTCTTTCTCTTTCAAGCATTGTGAATATGATAACATGAAGTTGCTTAAAAAAGCTATAGAGATAAAAAAAGTTCAGTAGAAGGGAAAAAAAACGCGAAAGCAGCATGTAATAAGTCCACTTTAAAATCCATTTTCCGAAGTAGAACTCCATTAGTAAGTGCAACTGCGAAGTTCAATTAGTTAGGATTTTTTTCTTCTACTTTTTCCATTCTAACGTGTTTGTATATTATTAGCTTACAAGCCCAGAAAAACTGCAGGCACCGTTTAAAAACCATTAGCCATTTCCTAAAAGACTTCTAGAGAAGAAAAAAAAAAGTTATAGAGATCACAGTATTTTAAGTCTAAGCTTGTATTTAATGCACATGAAGAATTTGCATGCAAATTTTTTTTTTCTCCTTAAGACATATCATGGACCTATAAAATAAAACTAAAGGGTTTATTTCACATATTTTTTCCAAGAAACACATTTGTTTAAAAATTTATTATTTATGAGTTTCGAAACAAGAATTTTAATGTTTTAATAACTGAAATGTTCAAACATAAATGAAATTTGAGGTTCGTAAATTGTACAATTACTACGTTATTAAAATTTATGCATATAATTCAAATTATATTTCATATTTTCCATGAATTATATATTGTTTACATATCATAGGTAACGTAAATTGACTCAAAAAAATAGTTTTAATATATCCTCAATGCATGCTAAAAAGTCATCGGCAGGGATGGCCTTCAAAGCGCGCGCTGATTCACGTTGAATCTCTTCAATCGACTGAAAACGGTGGCCCCGAAGTGATCTTTTGAGTTTAGGGAATAATCAGAAATTGCACTGTGTGAATGCGGTGGTTGTGGAACGATATGTGTTTCATTTTTGGCGAAGAAGTCACTAAGAATCAATGCAGTGTGAGCTGACGCATTCAGTGTTTTCGGTAATAATCGAGATTTGACGCGTTTGAGACACAAAATGGAATTGATCGATCCTTTTGAAATTCGAACATCATCAGCAAGGTCTCTAATTGTAAATTGACGGTTTGCAAGCATCAATCTTTAATTTTTTTTACGTGATCTTCGTCAGTTGAAGTTGATGGTCGACCAGAGGGCTCATCGTCTTCAACGTGTTCTCTGCCTTCTTCTCACTTTTAGCGTCTCACAAAGCCAAGCATAACTCAAACATTAATGAATATTTTGACTTGTGAAATTTTACACAGATGTCAAGGACAGTGCCGGCAACCTACAAAAGGATTAAAAAAAATTTGAAATTGAAAAGCCACGGGAATTTTAAATTAAAAATTGGTCTTACTTTTTAGACACAGCAGTAGTACAATGAAAATCTGATAATGACTCCCATGCCTAAGACATTTGCAACTTAACGTATTTGAACAAAAACAAGTAATATAAAAAAAAAATGTAAGTCAATTCCTACTTTTTTCCCCCTCTATTGCAGAAAGTCCATTATAAATAATTGTCATTCACTTTTTTTAAGTTAGAAGAAATTCTCTCCCACACTACATCTCTCACTCATTTATTGAAGTGTTTCTTTTTCCACTTTGTTCCCTCCTGAACTCAGACTAGAACCCAGAATAAAAAAAGAATCAGAAAAAGAAATTTTTTTCCAGCGATCTACACGCTTCGCTACTGACGTCATTTATTCCTAAATTTATGTCCTGCAAAATATCTTATATAAGAGAAATTTTTTTTCTCCCCTATAAAACTGAAATTAATTAATTAAATGTAATGAATTAATTAATATTTGAAAAAACATCCAGTGTCATCCACTGCAAGTTCAAAAAAAAAATGTATTTGAACTAGAATGGATGAATAGAAAGTATTTTTTGAACAAATGAGAATTTGAACAAGATATATATAGGGAGAGTGTGAGCTCATAGAAGGAATTGAAGTGCAAGACTGACAACTGACTAGACAAGTGCATTTACTTGGTGTGTCCTGTTCGTGTTCGCGCTTGGGCACTTTGTAATTACCGTGGTGTTTTTTTCAATGTGTTGCTGGACTTGTGACTCAATTTGACCACACCCAGTTCCAGCTGCACAAACGTCGACACATCTACTACAATATGGCGCCCAACATGGGGCGTCCCGTACTTGCAACTAATGCATTTTTTATAAATATTGTTAAAAAATTTGCATTTACTCATTATATTTCAAAACATGTTCCAGTAACAAATAAGTTAAATATATATTTTATTGCAATTTTTTTAAATACCAACATTTATAAGCATACTGATTTTAAGAAATATTGAATACAATACATTTAAATTAAAAAATATAAAAAAATGCTGTAAATAAAAAAATCTAAATGCTGTAAAAAAGGCCCACTCGTTAAAATGAATTCAAATTTGAACTGAAGATACTTGAAGAAGAGGGAAACGTTACGGCATTACAAAAAGTTCCAAAAATGGTTCCACCGATTTTTCCCCTCCAATTTGGTATGAACTTGTGATGTATGGGCTTTTCACTCACAGTGTGACAACTGTTGAATGACTTGGAAGTCATTTTTTCAATCAAAGAACCGAAACAATCAAGCACATTGAAAAATACAGTGGGTTTAATGTGTAACTCATGCAAAATGCGTTGTCATTTCGATTCAAATTATTACTGGCAGCCGAATTTACTTTCTTTATACCTCTTACTGCGCCATCTATTAATACACTTCGAAATTTTTGTTTCATGCCGTACCGTTTCCCCTTTCTTCAAGTATCTTGAGTTCACATTTGAACTCATTGTAACGAGTGGTTCTTTTTTTACAGCATTTTTAAAGCGGAACTTTAATTATAATCACGCTTAATTTGGAATATGAATACTTTATAAATCAACTTTAGCGTTAAGGGATTAAATTTTTGTTCATAAAACCTATTGTTAATTTATCTCTAAGAAACTTAAAAGTAATAAACAGAATCCAAAAATAGTTCTTATTGGGCTTATAAATTCAGAAATATATTGCATTTATATAAATTAATTAATGGGGGACCTGATGACCGCGTGGCTAGCACTCTGGCGCTGGGTACCACAGGTTTCGGGTTCGAATCCCGGAGGGTTCCAGGGAAGTTTGGTAGTAGTTCGGAAACCTATTTAAACCGTAGGTCCCGGTCATAATATGATCATAGAGCATTGTGGGTGTAGTGTTACTCGTATCCGTAGTGTATCTTCAAGCTGCACGTGTCCCCAAGGTAGTGCTAAATAAGTAACAGCGGTGCAGCCCTTGCTTTGGCATAAAGATTATATGTCTCTGTATTGCCAGCTGCATTAGAACAACAACAACATAAATTAATTAATTTCTTATAAATACTCATTATAATTTCAAAAAAGGTTCTATTAACAAATAATTTAAATATATATTTTATTGTAATTTTTTTAAACAATAAAATTTATAAGCATACTGATTTTAAGAATTATTCAGTATGAATTCAGTGTAATGCATTCAAATTAAAAATATATGCATAACTTAAAATGAAAATGATTCTGTTATATTTATCCTTTATAATAATAAATATTGAAAACTAATAAATAAAAACCTATTTCGCACTTTATAAAGCGATCCCTGTTCTTTTCTATTTTTAATTTTTAATTAATAAATATCCTGCTGCAAAAAAAGTCATTTCCATTCTCTTTCACGTAATGTCTTTATGAATAATTTAAAACTGGATTTTTCTTTTCTTCTTGAAACTGTTCTCTGAACAGAAAATTCCTTTTGATGCATTTTACGTTTATTTTTTCATTATAGTGGATATGAATATGTGGAGTTTCGTAAAAAAAACTACACAGAAAAAAAAGTGTTTGTTAGGTGAAAAAAAGAACTTTAAAAGAAACTCGAAACAAGTCCTCTTTAAATCCATTTGCTGAAGTAGAACTTCATTAGTAAAAGCGACTGTGAAGTTCAAATTTTTTTTCTGCGTCTCTATTATAACGTGTTTGTACATTATTAGTTCACATGCCCAGAAACACTGCAAGCACCGTTTAAAAACCATTAGTCAGTTTCTAAAAAACTTTTAAAACAAAAAAATAATGTTGTAGCGATGGCAATATTTCAAGTCTAAGCTTGGATTTAATGCGAATGAAAAATTGCCATGCATATTTTTTTTTCATAAAAGATATCATGGACATGTAAAATAAGAATAAAAAGTTTATTTTACATTGAAAAACTTTTTTTTTTCAAAGAAGTGAGCAAAATAATTTTTTTTAATTTTGCTTTTAATAGGTGTTTGTAAAGATGGATGTTATTAATTAAGCATGATATATACAGTGAAAGTAAAAATTACTCATTGATTGCACACTTACTAATCATTAAAACAATTACATTTACAGAGGGTTATCAAAATAATGGAAACACCCTAGAGTTATAAGGAATTCATTACTAATACCGAATCTTGTAGTTAACCCAATATAATAGCTTATATTGTGTTTGGCTTTCAAGCCTAGTTACTGATAAGAAAATCAAACATGTTGTTGTTGTTGTTTCTTATCCCACTTGGCTGGCCAAGCTCACGAGCTCATACGTACTCGGAAGGAAGCAGCTTCTGTTGCGATGGAGCACCCGTAGGTAGAAGCCTGACTTTGGCTCCGTGACGCCCTTACAGTCATAAGAGACCGGGACCTACGGCTTAAAGTGGATTCCGAACCACTACAAACATCCATGGCACCGCCGGGATTCGAACCCGAAACCTGTGGCACCGAGCGCCAGACACTCGGCCATTCAGGTCCCAAATTTGCCAACGGCACGCAGTGTTCCCAGGTGGTCACCCACCCAAGTACTTCGGTGATTACTTAACTTCGGTGATCTAACGAGAACCGGTATATTCAGCATGGTACGGCCGTTGGCAATCAAACATAGCCCATAGTAGCGAAACCAGCAGGAGTCTCTCAAGTATGATTTCGATATGCAGGTCGAAGATGATCCTAATTCCATTAAACACCAAGTCTCGACACAAAATATAAATATCACTCTTTTCCAATGTTTTAATACAGCTACTGGTACCATAATTTTTATTCACGCTGACCAAAACCACCTCCACACTATAGGAAGTTGTTCTCTGAAACTTGCCTTACCCGAATACAAAACGAGATCAATTCGTTTTAATGAATTATAATTGTGCTCGACTTTCGAACAACTTTTTAATGATAACATCATTTTTCAATCATCATACGAAGGGTTTAGCCAGAATGTTCTTCGAAATACTTAGTATATGTTTAGAATCATCTAGGCTGTTAAATTACTTGTCACCTGTCGCCCCCCTCCTTCCTACAAACAGTTCAAGAGCTCTTTTAGGTAGGGGGGCAGAATGTCAAGTTCCATTAATATTCTCGTAGACTGTATGCCTTAAATGTATATGCAATGTTGCTGCTGGTTAGGAGAAACCATAACCATTAAAAAAAAAGATTTTTTTCACCAGAAATTACATTTCTTCTGCTTTTTTATGATTTGTTTTTAATTCAATTCGTTTCGTATCAAAAAACTTAATTTCTTTCGTTGATCCCTGAATATTACCACGTCTCTGGAAATTTAGTAAAGTTGAAAACCGTACATATATGCGTATGCGCATGCGTGTAATGTTAATGATAAAAGATATCTGTCAACGGTCAAGATACCGGATATTCGAAAATCAATATTATTTGCCGAAAGGTTTTTCTATTAATGTTATATATTTACTGCATCACAAGCAGTACATATTTTTTTTAAATTTTTTTTATAAAAAAACTCTACTGATTAAACATTTGAAACTCTATATATCCTGTTTTGTTAGTGAATGATATATTTTAAATTCATTTTTAAATTAATGAATAGGCACATAATTTTCATATACTTTGAAAATTTTTTTTAAAATATCATAATTTTTTAAAAATATACTATTTCATATATGAACAGCTTTTGCAATGATAGTATACATTTTCCATGACAATTATACGCAAGGGAAATATACATTATAAAGTATCGGCAGATGTATAATTACTACATTTTCTCTATATGTGAAATTTATTTAATGATACCTACATGCCTTTCAAATAAATTTAACAATTTAAATTTTATTAAATAGAGTTATAGATTCACATTATTTTTAAATAAGGAATATTTAAATTAGTTATGTAACTAGAAGTTGCGCGCGTTATCTGACAAAACACAACTTCCAGTCGAAACCTTCTCCTTCCTGTCTGTTATCGTTTGCAGAGACATTTGAATTCAAAATCCCAAATGGAATTAATCTTCACATGGAATTGAATCAAAATAATCTCATTTTACAAACAAAGAACAGTAAAAACATTAGATACAATTTTTAAGCAGTTCGCTAAGCTTTAGTGCTGGTTGTTGCTTCATTGTTATTAATTTAAAAATTACCATTATTTCCAAGTTTTTTTCAATATAATACACCTTTAAGTGTTTATATATTGTATATTGTACTTTTTGGATTCTGTAAGTTTTCATTGCTATCCTTATGTATAGATTTAATAAACATAATAATACAAAATAATTTATAATAGTTTTAAATTTTTCCCTTAAAGTATTATATATATTTTTTATTTCCAATGGCAAGGCAATACAAAAAGTGACAAAATACAGAATGGAAAAACACGAAATGTTGGAACAGGAAAAGAATTCAACAAAATTGTCTGAAATCATTGCCTTAAGAGTTACTCAATTAGTTAGAGTTAGTACTCTCTAGCTTACCGGTACCTAGATGTAGTCGTGGCCGAGTTTTTTAAGGCGAGGGACTAAAAATTTTCTGTAATTTGCAGAAGTGTTATTAATTTAAAGCGAATGGTTAATTTCTATTTTTAAGACATCGACAACTGTTCCCTGATTGTGCCGAATTTTAACTTAAATTCTTTTAATTTTAATTTTAATTTCTACTTTTCATCTTATTTTTATTCATTTGTAGTTTTTTTTTTAAATAATTTTTGGGTACCATACTTTAATTTTTTTAAACTTTATCTTGCATCTTTTTTAATAACCTTAAGCAGCCAATTAAAATCTTAAACATTTATATGAATTAAGACGAGGAGGTTAAGGGGTCTATCCCCATCGGCACTCCGTAATCGGTACGCCAGTTGCCGTCTCGGATTCGCCATGAAGTGCCAAGCAACGATGGAGATGATCTCGGATCATTCGTTCTGTCAGATCACAAAGAGATCAGTTTGGTGGTTCGAAAATCCCAATGTCATGTAGATGTTCGCCCAGACAGTCGCGACCTGTTAAAAGGCGGAACTGAACAACTGCTACACGACATGGGCGGTTTGGAACTACGAGAAGATCTTCGACTTTCAATCGTTTTGGCTCTATTCGGTCAAGCAACTGTAATTTATAATTTCTAGTCTAAAGGTGTGGGAATTAGATCGGTTCTTTTAGATTAAGGCAAGCCACCAACATTCCATTGCAAGGCATGTGGGCGAAACGGTTAGGATAGCATTGAGAGCTCATGATGAAAACTGTAGACACCTTAACCTGTAGAATGTTGCACCACTGGGAAGTAGGTCTACATTGTAAAAGGTCTAAAATGTTACGTTTTGTAAAGTATTAAAGAATTGTGTAAATAATCCAACAACACTGTTAATCACGGTACTACTTTACACTATTTTCATATTCCTAACTGTACACCTTAAAATATTAACAATGCAGCCAAACCATGAGATTTATACCATTCTTGTTGAGAGATTCTGCAGTGAATAATTTATTATCAAATTTTTGTTATTTTTATTAATGATATCAATTATAATTATAAAAGCTAAATTTCAACATATGTGGTCAAGAGGGTCAAATGGTCAAATGATTAACTATTGTGTCAATTTTTTGCTCATTTTAAAGAGAAAATTTTAATATTTCGCAAGACTTTTTGACTATAATATATTTAGAACCTCTCTCTAGGAATTTTTTAATTATATTATAGTCAAAACGATTTTTCTGATTTTCAAAATTCATGTGTTTCTTTCGCCAATAATTCTGACATTAATTATTTATTATTATTCATCTCATTAATTATTCATTATTATTAATATGATTAGTATATCTGGTATTATTTTTATCACATATTAACGATTTTTTCAAATAATTACACTGTCAGTTGAAATACTACTTTAAGCAATATTCACATTCCTGACTTCACATCTTAAATATTATTATCAGTGCCACCAAACCGTGATATTTATAACTTTTTTCTTCAGTGGTTTTATAGTAAATAATTTATTATCAAATTTTTGTTATTTTTATTAATAATAGCAATTATAATTACAAAAAGCTAAATTTCGACATATGTGGTCAAAAGATTTAACGAATGACGATTATGTCAATTTTTCGCTCATATTAAAGAGAAAATTTAGCAAGACCTTTTGACTATAATATATTTAGAATATTTCTCTGTGAATTTTTTTAGTATATTATAGTCAAAATGATTTTTCTTATTTTAAAAAGTCACGTGTTTCTTTTGCCAAAAATTATGCCATTAATTATTCATTATTATTAATATGCGTAATAAATCTGGTATCATTTTTTATTAAATATTAACAATTTGTCCAATTAATTCAAAGTGTTTTTGAAATAATTGGACAAATCGTTAATATTTGATAATTAGTTAGTTATTAAGTCAATATATAAAATAATTAATAGTTAATATTTGACAGTCAAAATACTACTTTAGCGTAAAATAGTACTTTGATAATGGTATTATTATATTCCTAACTGTAAACCGTAAATACCGTTATCAGCGTAGCCAAACCATAAGATTTGTATCTTTTCCGTTAAGAGACTTTGTAGCGAATAATTTATTGTTATTTTTATTACTGATATTAATTATAATTATAAAAGGATAAATTTTCACATGTGGGACCATGAGCTTCAACAGTCAAAGGCCTGTGTCGATTTTTGTTAATTTTAAATAGAAAATTTTAAAATTGGTCAAAGCTTTTTACTATAATATATTAAAACTGTTTCTCTTTCAATTTTTCTAATAGCTAATTTTCAAAATTTATGTGTATATTTTACCAATAAAGTAAAAATTATGATATTTATTAAAGATATAATAACTGATTTATAATATTATTAAAATTTATGCTATGATTATAATTGCATTATTTTAAATTATGCTTTATACACTTGTGTATCGAGAAGGTTAAAAAATTATGACATATTTTACAAAATATTAGTGCATATTTTACGTAATATATTCAGATGCAAATAGTTTCTTATTAGGTCATAAAAATTCCATGCAACATTTTAATTAAAAATGTTAGCGACAATGCATAAAAAATCCTGTTCTCTAACCTTCCAAAAAGCAAAGTATTTCTGTAAGAAAAACGCAAGATTATAATTTTAACGTGAAAATAAAAAGCAGGAATAAAATATCACCGACACATTTCAGTGACTTATGGATTATTATTCATTCAAGAAATTCACCGCACGAAGCTTATATGCTACCCGCTTCACAGCTAAAGCAAGTGCATTATTTGAATTTATTATGCTCTTACAGATAAAAATGTTTTGGCCCTTGTATAATGGGTTTTCCCGCTATGCAGGAAGCTACCCCAAATATTTTTTTCTTGTTTTTATGAACAAAAATGTTCGTTTTTCTTCCGTGAAATTTTCTATTTTTTTTTTTTTTTTTTTACCAAACAGCTATTCACGGAAAATCTAATTATTTCTTATTCCTTGATGTTTTACAGATTTGCTGCCTTGCATTTTCCTGGAGTCCAACAGTAAAAGATAATGGGTGGAAGTGATAATGGATGAATATCTGTAAGTGCATTTTCTGTTTGTATATATACAAATTTTTATTTCGTTTATTTTGCTGTTCGTTGCCCAGGTGAGATATTGCAGTTGCACATGCTTGTCTT